ATATATGTGATTTGGCGATATATAAATAAACTGAATTGAAAAATTTCATTGAAAATTGACCCTTCCATGAAGCTTAACACTCATGTAATCACGACTTAAATCCTGTTTTGTTTTTTTTTTTATTGTTTTTCACTTGAGGCGACTGTCTAAATTGAAGCCCATACTGTCCGAAAGTAATCTTGAGACAGTAATACATGCTTTCATAACATCCAGGCTTGATTATTGCAATGCACTTCTTTTTGGACTCAGTAAGATATCTATTGGACGTTTGCAACTGGTTCAAAATGCTGCAACCCAATTTTTAACAAGTTCAGGTATTTTTTCAGTTTTATGCAGAAATATAGAAAGTTCTAAAGGTTTCACAAACTTTCAAATACCACTGTGTGTGAATATAATGTTATACTTGTGCCTAATGTTCACGTTTTCATTGTTTCCTGCAGAAGTTCAGCAGATGGTGCTGATTAAAGAAGAAGCTCCTGAAGTACGGATGCTTGGTGTGGACCAACAGGCCACAGAGACCCTCAACATAAAGGAGGAAGAGGAAGAACTGTGGAGCAGTCAAGAGGGAGAGCAGTTTTGTGTGAAAAAGGAGACTGATGACACTGGGTTTTCATTCACTGCTGTTCATTTGAAGAGAGAGGAAGATGAAGAGAAACCTCAGTTTTTACAGCTTCATCAATATCAAGTAAAAGAGGAAGATCTTCCAACCAGCAGCTCAGCTGACCAGATGAAACCAGCAACTGGTGGAGAGGACTATGGAGGAGCAGAAACTACCAGGAACCCAGATCTACATACTTATGGAGATGATTACAGCTCTTCAGAGACTGAAATCAGTGAGGAGGAGGATGTGAATGACTCTGACTCTCAGCTAAAAGACTTATCAGGCTCTGGGTCAGAACCTGAAGACAATGACAAAGACTGGAAGGAAAGCAGAGCTCCTGAGTCAGCCATACACACTGTCAACAAATCTTGCAGCTTCACTGAGCATGGGAAACAATTTCACAAGACAAGTC